CACACTTTTAACGTCTGGTACCCCGTTCCCACTTCATCCTTTTAACATCTGATTTAGCCACCCCCAAACACGCACATTTTTAACGTCTGGTACCCCGATCTCACTACACACTTTTAACATTTGATTTAGCCACTCCCAAACACGCACATTTTTAACGTCTGGTACCCCGTTCCCACTACACACTTTTAACATTTGATTTAGCCACACCCAAACACGCACATTTTTAACGTCTGGTACCCCGTTCCCACTACACACATTTAACATCTTATTAAGTCTTCTGACTTTTATTTTGTGCCGCCGTTCCTGAAAATGAAATTGAAAATAAGCACATTCATTGACGTAAAACATTAAAAATGGCCGGAGATGGCAGAGAGAAACATCCCGTTTCAAATCTGATTTGGTGCTGCACTCATTTTCAACCTCTCTATATTTTGTCATGCGCAGCTTTGTATTAGTAGAGTGAGCATGCGCATGTTTTCGTTGGCAGACGGGCACATAAGGCCGCACATCGAAAGGAATTTATTTTCGTAAATTAATTTTCTGATTCTTTTCTTTCTTCCCCTTTTCTATTTAGAGCTGTCCGAAAGTAAGGATCAAACATTTACGAAGTCAATACATTTGTTACTATACAAATGAAATGTCGTGCATAAATTACTAGTGTAATGATTATAATCATCACACACATACATACATACTTACACAAATTCAAATTATACAACAATAAGCATTCATTGGATAATAAATCAACACTACTGTGTAATGGACAATTTATAAATCGCAGCTATGCGACAATTTTATAATCGCTATATTTTCATGTAGTCGATTTTGTGCACTTTTGGGAGAATCGGATCCCAAGAGCCTTCTCAGCTTAGTAAATATTTTCAGGAAATATCAGCTTCTAATTGGTCAATAAACACACAAGTGGCCGTTGCAACCCACCCACGCATAATATATTTTTCCAGCGCGTGACTGAGTCGAGTTTTTCGCGCCAAGGCGCTGTGAGCCTGTCACGTGATTACATTATCTATAAATAGCAAACACGAGTTTGCCTTTTTCTCTTTTTTCTCTATTCTTGCTGCAAAATGTAGTCCCAGAGAATTATCGTCTCGACCATGCGGTCAGACGTTAAATAATATTTCACACATTCACGTACGTACAAACTCTTACAAACTTTTCCAAAATATGAACATTCACCAAAGAACAAAAATAAATGATACCGAACTGTTTCATATCTGTTCTCCTGTATGATAGTGAATGCTGGGCAATCTCCTAGTTAGTGGAGAGACAAGCTTTATTAATAACTAGCAGTAGAGCCCGGCGTTGCCCGGGGATATAACAGTAAGAGATAGATCAAGTATTGACCATCATAAAAACTGAAAAATAAAATTGACAAAGATTATTGTTTAAGGTTGACGGACACGCATGTCTTAATTAGTTTTTTTTTTTTTTACAAATTGGTCAAACCCAAACTCAAACAAAAACATTGTTTTCAATCGTTATGAGCCTATTGATTAAATAGAATTTTATTATAAACAATTGTCTTGTAAATGGAATTTTTAAAGCATTCTGAATGTAAAAATAAAGAAAAAAGTGTGTAAGACAATGAGAAACACTACCTGCCAAAAAAAAGTGTAGTTTTGTTGAAATCGGTTGAAAAATGTAGGAAATCCGATCCCATATATAAACGAACACACACACACAAACAACCTGGGTTTTATAATAAGTATAATTCGATATGAGTTGTCCCCCTTTCATTCTCACGATGCCTCTTAATCGTGTTTTCAAATTGATTTCGTGCAAATCAATTGTGTTTTTCAATTTTGGCGCTGTCAGAACCACCGCAAGGTAATTTTACGTAGTCCTGTGAAGTTTTGTTGAAATCGGTTGAAAAATGTAGGAAATCCAATCACACACACACACACACACACACACACACACACACACACACACACACACACACAAAACCTGGGTTTTATAATAAGTATGATATATATATATATATCGGTCTTGTTTGTCTTCTTTATCTTCAGTTGAACTTAATTCAACATTCTCATGTAGTTGGACCTTCTTCTAGCAGGAAATTTAAACGCACGTGTTTTCTTTTCCTCTTCACCCCCCCTCCTCCTCTACAGTGGTATACTATGTGACCTTTTAGGTGCTTTTTTTTGTTGTTTGATTTTTAGGAAATTTTCCAACCCACTCCGGAGCTCAAGACTACCCTGTTTATTAATTTTGCAGTTTATTACCTTTTAAATGATTTTTGTTTTTAAAGCCGGGAAAATTACCAACCCTCGACCATTAAGACTCACAAACTAAGGGGAGTTATCATCAAAAACATTCCAGAGATCGAAAATGACTTGATTGAGAACGTCGACGCTATTAAATTAAGCTTGATAAAGTTTTCTGTTTTTTTTGTTTTTTTTTTGACGATGCTAATAAAAAATTCAATAAAACTGAAAATAGATGTTTATAATGTTTATAAACATTATAAACATCTATTTTCAGTTTTACTGATTTTTTCAATTTGTTTTCCAGATTTAAACATTTTACGACACATTTAAACATTTTATGACACATTTACAAGACAATAAAATGAACAAAATGAAACGCAAGAGTTTCGTGACGCTTTTGCGTTCCATATATTTCGTCAATTCAATGACTTCGGTTAGTATAAAAGTAGTCCCGGAGTTACGACAACGTTTCGTTTTCCGACCATCTCGTCGTAAGTCGGTTTCAACGCACTCGGAAAACTCTTATCATAATTTGTTGTAGTAATATGCGTGTAATAGTTAACGGCTTAGCATGAGAAATTAAAGAGCGGAGTTCGAATTCCAGTCGGGTTCGTCACCTTCACTTACGCTCAAATACCGTTGGAAAAGCTATGAATCAGTCTCCCCCCAGCTGTGTGTTGAATAACAGAACAGAATGGATTCTTTAGCCTTTGTTGGCAACCAGTCTATCGCAGAAAGGAACGGCAACCTTCTGCAGGAAAATCTCTGCCTAGTCAGTGATGAATCGAAAGAGACATGATCGCCCAAGCGTGTATCGCACATGTCACATGACTGACTGAATTTGTTGTATTTCTGCACCCACTTGCATTGAATATGACACAAGATCAAAGTTTAAAATTGTTCGAGACCTCTCAGTACTTACCCTTTTGAGGGGGTTCCAGTCACCGAGTAATGACCTCTCCTCATTCCCTAGGAGGGGCAATGCCTGGCAGAGGATGCCTCCCTCTGAGGCTCGAGATCAATAATCATTCGAAACCGCCTGGCTCGGCTGGGTAAAGTAAGTATATTTATTATCGCGGAAAGCCTTGCTCCCTTTGACTGAGATGAAGTCATGTGGATTACGTGACAGTCGCGCCCATAACACCGTTTTACCCCTTGGGAAAAATATGCCCTCAGCAGAGATATATAGATACTATCTGCGCTTCACAGTCTTCATGTTGGAAAATACCTTCTGGGAAATATGTCCTCACCAGAGACATAGAAAATAAATCCGGTCCTCTAGAATTCACATTGGGAAATATAAATCTGGCTTCTTCAGAAACACAGAAGTATCTTCCGGCAGCTCGAATTCACGTTGCGAATTTTATGACGTAAGACCCTCTCTCTCTCTTCTACATTTTGACACTGCTTGTTGTTGTATACATGTCTTACAGTTTCTCTGTGTGTAGTCTTTTTTGTCTAAATCCACAAATTTGTTTGGCTCATGCCAAGTTAATATTAAAAATTGCCGCAAAACATTTGTTGATTTATTTAACATAGAATGATCTATTATGGCATGTCTCAAATGTCTATTGAGATACATTGTATTTATTTTCAAATTTTCTAGCTGAATTGTTCACCTATATTCCATATGATCCATTATTGTACATAATTAGGTTAAAATAAATATCTTATATGAATACTATCTTATAAAAATTGTGATGAAGTAGATTAGAGGTGGGCGGAGTCTCTTTCGGGAAGGTAAACCGACCCTGAACCCGTTTATACAGGTTCAAATGGCATATTTTTGGCCGAGCCCACGGGCTCCAAGATCCCACGTTAAACCGGCCTTGTGCCACATGATGCCCTCGTGGGGAAGTGACTAAATACTGATTGTTCGTACTAACACATCTATTTCTCTGTATATATTCCTGTTTGTAATATATCTGTGTTATTCCATGTCCGTGTTCGAGTTCTTCTTTATTGGTTCTACCTTGGACTATCACCGTGGTACAAGGAACCGGACCATAACAATAAAACATCTTTCTGGGATTTCTTCACTATCAACCGAGAGAGCGTTAATCGAAACACGTTTTTGTTCGAACCTGAAGTATTAAATTCCCAACTATCTCCCTAACACGTGACAGAAAATCTTACTCAGATCTCTTTCAAACAATACACTTAACATAATACACGAGATAGAAACGAGGCTGTAAATTAAATGTCTGACACTGGCAGCATTTTTTTCGCGTTGATTAAAAATCATATTTTGTAAGGTTTCTTTACTTGACAAGCGATAATTGCTTTCATTTGAAAAAGAGACTTTTTTCTGGCTTTTCTTTCCTTTAACCTATTTTCGTCCTCGGAAGAATGGCGTGGTGTGTCGATTCTATTTTCAAAAAAAAAAAAAAAAAAAAAATGAAGAGGAACGGGAGAAAAAATATCGCATTCTCTGCCAGAGTTCGAACCATGACAAAAATGCGGAATTCTTAATGCTGATTTTTAAGACAGGCTACTTTTAGTTCAAAGATTCTCATAGCACAATGGCTTATGTCCTCCTTTTGGGCCTGTGCCACACACTTCTAAGCTAATATCAACACGAATACACGCACACACACAAATATCCAAATACATAGGGAATATATACACACATATTAAGAAATATCTCTCCACACGCACAAACACTTGCATATAATGATTGATTAAATGATTTGTACATTTTTTTTTACAGTTTATCAACCCTTTATCGTTTATTTAAAGCAGAAACATTTCGGATTGTAGGCAGTTCCTTACAGTGCTCGATGTTTCCAAGCGATCCCCCATCTAAGTACTGACCGGGCCCGACATTGTTTAACTTCGCTCATCGAACGGGAACCGGTATTTTCAGCGGGATTTGACCGTAGGCCACATATAAGGAATTATCCACATACACACGTACACATAAGGAAATATGGCCTGACACACACATATAAGGAAATATACATACACATATAAGAAATTATCCACGTACACATGTACTCATAAGGAAATGCCCCCCACACACATGCATACAAGGAAATCTACAGACACGGATAAGGAATTATCCGCATACGCACGTACACATAAGGAAATGACACGATAGACACATATAAGGAAATATGCACACACATATAAGGAATTATCCACATACACATGTACACATAAGGAAATGTCCCCCACACTCATGTAAGGAAATATACAGACACATATAAGGAAATATTCACATACGCACGTACACATAAAGAAATAGCACCCACATACACACGCACATACAAGGAAACGTGAAGAAGTAAAAATACTAAGTGAATAAAAGTATGGAAGATTAGTTGACCACATACACATAAGGAAATGCCCCCACACGCTCATACAAGGGAATATACAGACATATATAAGGAATTATCCATATACACACGTACATATGGAAATGGCCCAGCACACACATATAAGAAAATATATACACACATATAAGGAATTATCCACATACACACATAAGGAAATCCCCCACACACTCATACAAGGAAATATATACACACATATAAGGAAATATTCACATACACACATACACATAAGGAAATGTGAAGGAGTAAAAAAATTACTAAATGAATATAAAAGTATGGAAGATTAATTGACCAAAATGAAAACATGAAAGAAGATTCGGTTTACAAATATTAACCAGAACCTAAAAAAATGCTTATGAGGAAGGCATCTGGAGGAAATGAACCCAAAATAAACCTGGTTAAACTTAGTAAATTCAGTACAACTAAATTTTCCCTACCCCATTTCACAACCCCAAGGAATTTGTTGTAACAAGATAATGTGTTTAGCAAAATTATGAAAAAACCCAGCCGAGTCGAGGAAGTTGTTTATTAACCCCTAACCTCTAACCTCTAACCCCTGTTTATATTTATTCTTAGCAAAAATGTCTAAGCACACATACACACACATACATATACAAGGAAATACATATACACACACACAATGAAATATACACATATATTAGTGTGATAGGGCAATGGCTTTGATTGTGTCATAATAATGCATGAAATTTGGTTTTGTGACCTGACGTAATGAGAGAGTTAAAAATTCTAAGGGAAGGAATAAATTCTGAAGAGAAAAAAACGTATAGAAGACCAGTTGATCAGATTGAAATATCATAAACTGGCACTGATAAAGCAAATTAGTTCTTTAAAATACACATGTAAAAGGGTAGTGGCCCTGATGAGAGCATAATGGTGTATGAAATGTGATTTACTGACTTGACATATTAAGAGAATTAATCTGTTCATATCTATCTCAATCTGTTCGTATCTATCTATCTATCTATCTATCTATCTAATACAACCTGTTCATATCTATTGTTGCAAAAACAACTCAAATAAACGCAATTTCTTTGTTCTAATCGATCTATTAGGAAACGATCTTGTAACTTGTTATTCAGTCAAATCTTTCGACTAACAATGAGCGACATTAAAACAAAATGATGATTTACGGCATCCTTTCGACAGCCTAGCCCACCCAATCCACCACGCCTTGAGAGATACAATATATCACGTGAGATTGACGACGATAATTTCGCTCAGCAAAACATGACGGCCTTCCATATTTGACGTATCCGCCATGTCAAACGCGATGCTCAGTTATGTAGCAATTTAATTGTTGTAAGAGCATTGTAATATAAGATCTCTCTCTCTCTCTCTCTCTCTCTCTCTCTCTCTCTCTCTCTCTCTCTGAAGAGAGAGACTGAAAACCAGGAAATTAGAGAAGGACCAATAACAAAAGCTCATGTGCCAATGTTAAGAAAACGGGAATTTAATAAAGCGCTAAAAATTCACTGATTTGCCTTTGACGTGTAAACTTCCATTTTTTAATCAATTCACCCCAAGCAGAGCAATACCACCATTAAGACAACAACCTTTACTGGGTGTGAAAGAGAATGAGAAGATTTTATAGTGGAGAAAGGACAATAAAAGAACAGGTTTTCAGGATGACAGAAGATGGCAATAATGCCACTTAGACGCAAGGGGTTACTGGGAGTGAAAGAGAATGAGAAGACTTTAGGGAGGAGAAAGGACAAGAAAAGAACAGGTTTCAGGAAGGCAGAAGATGGCGATAATTCCACTAAGACGTAAGGGGTTACTGCGAATGAAAGAGAATGAGGAGACTTTAGTGAGGAGAAAGGACAATAAAAGAACAGGTTTTCAGAATGACAGAAGACGGCGATAATGCCACTAAGACTCAACTGGTTACTTTTCAGAAAATGCATGACACGTGGAACTAGAACCATTTACCCTGGTGTACGAAATAAAGGTTTCGGTTCGAAATTCCAACGTATATGACCTGTAGAAGGCCGAGTGTAAAACAGCCGAAACGTGGTGAATATGACAATAAAGATGAAGACAACAGTCCGAACAATGTAAATAGTGTAAATATATTTATTGTCATTTAACTATTAATATGTAATACTGACAGGCAAACAAGTTTAGCGATTAAAATTTAGAAATATTAATATTTATATTATTGAGGCACGCTGGAGTAATGGTTCGGATTGAGAATTTAGAATACCAGTTGAATCAATTAACTTACATGCTAATATCTTGGGAAAGGAATGAATCCTCTTCTTCTCCTCACCAGCTATGGGTAAATAGCAGGACAGACCTGGTTCTATAGCCTTGGATGCCAACTGGTCTATCACAGAAGGAAATGACAACCTACTGCGGGAAAAAATTGCCTCGTCAGTCATGTATCGAAATATACATAATCGCCTAAGCGTGTATCACGCATGGCACATAACTGAATGTTTAACTTAGAAAGATGATTAACGTTTAAATGCGTATGTACAACGAAGTCAAAAAGCGAGTACATTTTTTAAACACACTCACTATATATATATATATATATATATATAGTCATCCACAGACAGACTGTTTCGCAGCTCATCAGTGTGGCTAGACATCCAGTTGCCTCTTGCTAGGATCGAAACCCGATTGAATTGGCGTCAGTTGGGGATTCTACCACTAAGCCGTTGGCGCACGGCAGGGATGAAGGTGAATTTTAAGTGTATTTATTTTTAGATATACACCCAGTGACTGAGAGAACTCAATTCGATTTACCGAAGAGTCTTGCATTATTAGGCCATAATAGTCACTGTTTACAAACTCATATATATATATATATATATATATATATATATATATATATATATATATATTTATATTTATATATGGCGATAGATATAAAGAGATATAGAGATAACTAAGAGGTGAAGGTAAAGTACCTAACACAAACCGCATCAATACAAAGTTTGCGAAAAAGAAACAGTCACCGTCCTTAACAAAAATGAATAGGGCTCAATGTCTATAGAATTTAGGAACCCGAAATTGGAGACAAAATCAAGACAATGCCGTAGTAAGAACAACAACCAACGACAACAATACCAACAACAACAATACCAACAACATCCAACGACAGCAACAACAACCAACAACACTAATAACAACATCCAACGACAACAACAGCAACAATACCAACAACAACATCCAATGACAACAACAACAATCAACACCAACCAAGAACAACATCCAACGACAAGAACAACCAAGAACAACATCCAACGATAGCAACAACCAACAACAACAACCAACAAAAACATCCATTGACAACAACAATAACCAACAACAACGACAACAACAACAACGAACAACACAGAGTAACTGTTTACGGTCGGTGTGTCTGGCCTTCTTCTTGGTTGTTACACTATGTTGGGGAAACTTGAAGAAACTTCAAAAACGTATTTATGAACATAAAAGAGACCTTATACACAACAATTTATTAAATGCATTACCCATACATAGAAATATGTTCAGCTACAAATTCGAACTGAAAAAAGAAACACTTACTAATAGATAAAATGACTTAGACGAAAAGTTCTTGAGACTGCCACTATCAAATCTTAACAAAATATACAGAAACATGCGCCTTGGATTTTTTCAAATATCTCCATTCCTGAAAGAATTACTCCTTTCTCAAGTCAACATAAAATAAAAACGGTTAAATTCTAAAGCTTATATTATTTAAAATATATAACACATGACTTAATTTATCAAACTAAAATAATATAAATAATAATTACATTATAAAAAATTCAACGATAAAACATTTATTCATTATAGTTTATTAAACATTAAATTGTATCATTTAGCATCTTCCATAACTTACCTTGACTTTTAGTTAGCCTGAAGTATATTTATGAACGTTCTTAATTTTTTAACTTGTAAAATAAAATCCTTACATTTGTCTTGATAAAGTGCATCAGAGGGCGAAACACGTCGGCTAAAATACGTTTTCCATTTGCTTTCATTTATATATATATATATATATATATATATATATATATATGTATGCTGACTGTGATTTGTCAGACGATTGCCATGACTCTATTGATTGACCGTCTATGAACCCGTTGATGACTTTTCTGTCCTGCCAACGATTTGCACATCTTGGAACAGATTTGGCACTCGTGACCATTGGCGTTGGGTGAGACGACAGACACAGTGTTGGCAGCACTGTGAACTTTCATGTGATGCTTAAGACCACCAGCTGATCGGCAAACTCTAGAGCAATGGGAGCATGAAAAGTTTCCATCCTGAGACTCAATGCGCGGCATGGAAGGGGCAACAAGTGTAAATGGATTGCTTTCATGCGGGTTCATATGATTAACCAGGCCTGCCTTTGACAGCAGGGTCCGGTCACAGACCTTACAGATCCACACATCTCCACAATTGGCCGGCAGAGGTTCCCGTTTTCCGCATGTTCTCTTGAGCTTTGCCAATCTGCTCTGGCTGCTTCCAAAAGTTTAGCACTCTTAAAAATCACAGCCCTCCACTTGCCACGATAAGATTCTAGGGACTCTCAATCATCAACAGGAACACTAAAATATGATAAACTCTCTTTGACTCTATCTCGAAATCGTTTTTTTTTTTTTGGGGCTTTTGTTGGGGTCTCTTGCCAGAAAGAAGCTCACCATAAAACAGCTGTTTTGGAAATCTGGAGTCATCAAGCCGAACAAGATGACCAGCCCAACGCATCTCTCTCTCTTTCACTCTCTTTCTGTCTGTATATATATATATATATATATATATATATATATATGATAAAATATGCTTTTAAGGTATTTATTTATGGTTTGAAGTGCTCAATATCAGGGATAGAGTGTGTAAATGAAACATTGATGTCAACACCCAGAGGTGACAGTCTGTTTTATGCTAAACGGAATTGTCCATATATATATATATATATATATATATATATATATATATATATATAGTAAGGTTCATATCTTCTGCTGTTAAATTAACTCCTACTAATGCTGAAGCTATTTAATCCATTAGTGCATGGCATCCAATTTTATTGAGAGGGACTTGAATAATTCTAAAATCCTCCATCCCTGAGATAGATGAGGCAAAAAGGGCTAAAGTTTTAAAGAAATTTCATTCAGTAATCGATTTCGTTATTATTATTATTATTATTATTGAATATTGAATATTATTTAAAACCTTTCAGGAAAGAAAGTTCCCCTGGCTCGAAATGAATTTGTTTCGAAAAAGGTACGCAACTTACAATTTTAAGGTGATTCTTCAAAATCAGTTGAGTTATCCAAAACATTTGCTCCATAATGTATTTACTAATTCTTAAATTCCGGAATTTTCTTTGTTTTACACTAATATTCCAAAAGTTTTTGATATCATGATTCGATAAAGAATGCTGTATTGATTGTGCAGGGTGAGTGGCTATGGTTAAATTTGAAATAAATGATAGAACTGTCCAACAAACAAAACTGACAAAGTTTGCAATAACAAGAAAAAGAAACGAACAGGTTAAAATAATATAAAGCAAGCAAACAATATATGTAAGGCAAAGAAACAGTAATAAGGCAAAGAAACAGTAATAAGGCAAAGGAACAGTAATAAGGCAAAGAAACAGTAATATAGCAGAAAGTTAAGTTTATCAACATAATGAGACGGCACCAACCCTGGTGAATATGCAACGTCAGGAAGAATTTTCGATCCGAAATTCATTATGGCATTTTCGTTTTGAAAGCAATGTGTGGACAACGGTTTTTATGGAGTGTCTTCCTTGTCCTGCAAATGGTTTGCTTGCGTTTTTTTTCTTTAATTGCAGTACAAACTACAAATGTAGTTACAGTAACGCTCAGTCTTCGAAAGTAACTATCATAACGCATAGTCTTCAAACTCCTGAATTCTGTGTGACTTGACTTTTTATTTTTTACAGTAAGTTTTATTCTGTACAAGGCCCGGGGTTAACTTGAGGCAGAGGGTTGTAATAAGGGGTAGTTTATATGGATATGAGAAGAAGATAATGGTTGACTCTAGACTTGAAACGGTTAAGATTATAGTGATCAGGAAAACATCCTTTTGGGAGTCTGTTCCATAGGGTAGCGGTTCGTGGGGGAAAAAAAGTCTGTTTCATCTTTCTTAAATTTCCCAAACTGTTCCGAACATCTACTGCTTCCAACCGAATCATCTCCATCGGCTTCGTCAGTCATCTTCATCGCTTCTGCTAGTGTCTTGCCAACTTGAAGAGGAAGAGGAACAGCATTCTGTATCGCAAGTTTATCTTCTCCGCCGTCATTTTTTTTTTAATTTGCTCAATAGTTTAAATAAACACTGAAATAGTTTTCAAGACGGAAAATGCAATCAGTAAACCGAGTCCGAATTTCGGCCGAGGCCGTTTATATTCGCTTAACAATTATGCTCTTGGGGGAAAAGCATGAACCCATTTCTCCCTTTACTCTGTTCTATGGCCAGATATGTTGATAGAAAATGATTATATAGATGAACATATCAGCTGATGGCTTTCCCAAATGAAATCAAATTAACTGAAAGATGCATGTGAGATCATCCAAAAATGGCTGCAGATATCAGGGTGTGCCTCAGTGGGGAAATGGGTACTGCCTGGGATTAGTAATTATCCTTATTATTATTATTATTATTATTATTATAGGATTACAAACTAGAAGGACCGGATTCTTACTGAATATCTACGCGAATGATACAACATCTATTAAGTGAACCTCCAAGAATCTGAAAGACCAGGTCGTAACAGCTCATCTTTCCTCTAACCACGCCCAAGTGGCTCCATGTGGAGGACTGGCTTGCAAAATGTAATGCGGCCAAAACCAAACTAGTAACGTTCCACTACAAACGCACAGGCCCCAAAAGTCTCAATTATCTTGACGCATGGGTGTTCTCTCAAGTATATTCCTTGACTTGAACGTCTATTGGGACTCAAGCTCTCCCAAGACCTCAAGTGGAACTGATATATCCGATCTATTGCTAAAGATGCTGGAAAAATGATCGGTTCATTTTACTGCTCCAGAAAGTATCTGGCATTCCCTGGTATACTATATCTTTACAAGAATTAGAGTACGGCGTATTATTGAGTTTCAAAGCGTCAACGCTGCCTTGATGTTGATTAATTATTTTCCACCATACAACGCTATTCAAACAAACGAAACGTCGCGAGCCTGTGTTCTGGCATGTGTTCTGACGAACTATACTTCTTAGTCCTAAGAACCCTTTCATTTATAACTTTGACCCGCCATACCAAGGTACACCCATGAAGAATAAATCCTCTTTATTCCTTTCTTATTCGAATAGTAAAACAGAAGTTCCATTCGGACAGCTTCTTCCCAAGAACGGCTGCTTTGTGGAAAAGACTTCCATCATGGTGTTTTCCCAATCACTACAATATTGACCTCTTCAAGCCTAAGGTTAACCGTTACCTTTTCTCTTCGTATTCCAGTAGTAAGAAGCGAGTTCCACTTGGACAGCTTCTTTTAAAGAACTGCTGCATTGTTGAACAGAATCCCGACAGGATGTTTTCCCAATCACAAAAATTTTGACCTCTTCAAGTCTACGGTTAACCATTGCATTTTACATTCGTATTCCAGTAGTAAAAAGTAAGTACCATTCAGGCAGATTCTGCCCAAGAACTGCTGCTTTGAGGAACAGGCTTCCAGTAGGGTGTTTTCCCAATCACTACAATCTTGACCTCTCCAAGACTAGGGTTAACGTTGTCTTTCCTGAATAACCTCATGAATTTCGCTTCTTACCTTTTCTGACACACAATCACGAGTGGTTCGTGGGCTTTGTACTGGGCGAAAATCATAAACTATGCCTTTATACATCTGAAAAACGGTATCTGCACAAGTTTCCAGGCAGAGAATCAGGCATGCGTCTTCTATGTGCCGTATCCCTTCAGAACGTAGATGATCATGTCTCTCCACAATGTCCTGTCCTTTATAGCTCTTAATAAATGTTCTCGTTTTGTCATCACTGCTAAACCTTGTTCCGGCAACCATTTACCCAAGCTCACTAAGTAGTTTATACATTGTTTTCCACTGTTCCTCTTGTATTGAATGGAATACTTTTGCCATATATGGTTTGGTGACCCCCCCCCACTGCCTTGGGGTCTCGATTCCAGTCACTTTCTCACAGACGTAATGTGGCTTCCCTCTGTCTTTTCTATAAATATTTTCATGGCTTTTGTTTTGACGTGCTATTTTCACTGGTGCCCCGACTGCATGAATTTAAAAGTGCTACTAGGCTGGCATCTCGGTCCCACCTTTTTACTGTCGAAACAGTTAAATGTAGCCGCCACTTCTATTCCAGCAGCTTCTTCACTCGCACTTCCCGACAGTGGAACTCCCTTCCTCTTACATGCTTCCCTGATAACTATAATCTTCAAAACTTTAAATGTAATGTCAATCGACATCTTCTGCTGCCTTTGTCCTCATCCTTCTTTTTATTCTTCTTCGTTCTTCGTTTTATGCTTTCCTCACCACCATACCCAGTCTTTTCCTTTACTTACACTCTCTGTAGCCTCTTGTGTGCTAGTGGCACTCCCGCCTTGTTTGGGGTGAATTGCTTAAAAAAAATTCAATTTGTCCTGTGTGCATCAGTTTTTCCAAGCCCTCTTTCCTCATTATGTGTCCTAGAAATTTCAACTGTCTCTTCCTGGTGTTAAGCATGTTTCTTTTTTTGTTCGCATTTTCTCTAAAGCATTGTCGTTGCTCACATGTTCAGTTCATCGAATGCTCAGCATCCTTCTGTAGAACCACATTTCGGTACTATATTCTTTCAGTTTTGACCTCTTCAAATCCAGGGTCGATTGTTATCTATCCTCTTTATGCTCATAATTGTCATTTCCCCCTCTTCCATTCGTATCACCCACCTCGTTCATCATTACCAGTTTGACCGTGGTCTTCCTCGTTCAGTGGTTCTCAAGAGTTGTGTTTGTTGAAATTTAGTATTTGACAAATATCAAACACGGAAGCCTTTCTGTTAATATTTCAAATAATAAAACTGTCTACCATGAAAAGATACATCCGCAAAAGCCAACTTACACACATTTAAATTCAAAAACTTCGTTGTCAAAAAAACATTATAAAAATAAATTACAGTCTAAAATATAATTATTGGAGGTTTATGTTCTATAAGTGTGAATATGACAAATGATTAAGATCGTTGTAATATGTATGTGTGTGCGCATGCGCATGGTCGTGTGTATTCATAAATTAAGATGTCAGTAGGCGTGTTTGAATGGAAATAAAAGAAGCGAGCTAGAATATGTTTAGACAAACGAAAGAGGATTTCTTAGAGTAAAGAGCATTGCGAGATAAGGTAAGCGTTCCTCTCAGTTCC